CAGGCAATCAAACCTTCATCCATAGGCATTCATGCATTTAAACACATAAGCATATAGCCTCATGGCAAGCATGATATCATGGCAGTCACTTACACGCATGCAAGGATGATAAAGCATAAACACTTACAGTGTACTCCAAGCCAAAGAAAGAAAAACTAGTTAGAAATCAATGCATGATCCTAGCTATGTCAACAATGCCTAATGCAACACATGCAAAATGCAACTAAGTAAGCTCGGCTATCTAAGATGGCATATGAATGCAACACTTGATAACATGCTTTGAAACACGTATTCAAGTAAGTATTGAAATTCAATGCAGCTTGAATGAGGCGTCGAACCCGGTGTGTGCGAAACAAATGAATGAATGTACTCATGCAAGCATAAGGTATGCTAATTGAAATATGCCCTAATCTAACCACTGAAAGCGGGTAAATAAAAGGGAGAAAGACGTGGGATTGGAAGACATTCACACACACACGCACACTTATTACAACATTGTGCCCTCTTGACGGAAGGTCCGAATGAATAAGCTAAGCTACATCTAAGCTAAGCTAGCTAACTAATCTAATAATCTAATTAGACTAATTATTATACAACCGAAATGAATAATAAGCAATCTACTTACTAATTATTACATCACTTAACTAATTAAGAAATTAACTAATTAAATTACAAATTCATGCTAAGCATTAAAGTATGTGAACTAGGCTACCTCAGCTTTGCCTTGAAGAAGTTGAAGATGCATGCTCGATTCTCGTCCCGAAAAGCTCTTCAAATGCTCTTTAGAGGCTCTGTTTGCAGGGTGTCTTCCAGTTCTTGTTGCTGAAACTTACCAAAACAATGCTGGGAAGTGCACCAGTGGCCTACCGGCCAAGGATGTGTAGTGCTGACCCCCCTGCCGGCCAATAGTAGGCACTGCCGGCCATGAATGGGAGGGTGCCAGCCACTGGTGTGCTGTGACACCAAGCTACAATAGAGCACAAAATAGAGAAAATGAAGGGTCTCCCTAGAACATGTATGTACTATGCCCCTTCAAATCATCTCAAAACATCAAGGGAGAGGCATAATTGGATCTAAGACCATCAATCAAGCATCGCAATGCGTGATGGCCAAAGATCCAATTTGTACAAACTCAATAAATGCATGACAAACAAGACACTTAGACCATCTCCTTATCATGAGAGATCAAAGGTGATGGAGACCAAGGGAGATTGGCTCATTTCTTCACTTCAAGTATGAAATGAACCAATCTTCCTCGTGTTCAATACGACATCCGATTGAACACAATGCAAAGCAAGCAACATGCTCATGCAAACAACATGCTAATCTTGGCATGAAATGCAAGATTCTAACATGCAAACACTCATGCACAACATGCTAGAATACTTAAGCATTAAAAGCTAGTGAAAGACGCAACACTAGAATCATGCAAAGCAATGCTCGATGGACTAAACCAACACCAAACAGACCTCATGCATGCTAGAACAGTGGCCAAAATGATATGAAATGATAGCATAAATGGAAAGGGAATGATGCTCATGCAATGGCTCGCAAGCTAGGCATTAAACACAACTCTCAAACACAATCAAAGAGTGATATGCTCAAGAATATGGCAATGCTATATGCTCTGAAATCAAGTATTAAATGATAATCATCCAAATATCTCAAACATAGCATAATACGGTGCTCAAAACTCAGGTCTAGCTAAGGTACTTGCACCATAGCCATATCAAGCAAGCCCCAAAGGGCCAACATGACTCAAAACAGTCCTGTGGCAGGTCAAAACAATGCCAAAACATGCATGGAGTAGAGCTACCACACGTTAGAATAAAAGGCCAAAACACCAAGTAAGCTAGGCCAATGAACATGATTACACTACAAGTGTAAGAAGCAAATGAGGGATGCTCTAACCAACCAAAAATAGAGTTGTATCATGGCAAAACAAGACCAAAAATACACTGAGATGGTAGCCCAAAAGCTTATACAAGCATGCATACACATTGACTCACAAACAAGGCATGAAGACATAACTCTCAAATACATTGAAGGAGTGGAAAATGTGAGAGTGTGGAAATGAAATATGCTTTGAAATCATGTGAGAAATGAGGCTACACCATGCAAACATCACATTCCAAGCATGCTAGGGACCTCAAGCACAAAGCTAGTCAAAGCCACTTACACTATAACCATACAAGGCAAGCCTCACATGGCCAAGACCAACCAAAACAGAGCTAAGACATCCTAAAATAACACCAAAAACATACTGAGATAAAACCAAAAATAGGCTAGCATGATGGATCAAAGCATTGAGCATACAAGGCTAAATGGCAAGATTACCCTACAAGTGTAAAAAGCATGCATGAGGTGACTCAACCAAGCCAAAACAGAGTTATGGCAGGTCCAAAAAGTTACAAAAACAAGCTTGAGCAAAGCCACAAAGGAGTATAAACACATGCTCATTTGGTGAGCCATCAACACATGCATGCAAGACAAGAGGAGAGGGGACCACCCCCTCCCATTTTGGACCTCAAAACCACATTTCTACCACTAAAAATCTACTAGATTTTAGTAGCTAAAAGGCCAAACAAAGATGAACTCAAAGGCCTTAAAGGATGGCTCCAAACCTAAGCAAATAAGGCACACAAGAAGATAGAACACCCTCAACACCAAGGAGGCCTCAAACAACCATCTAAAACACTTGAAAACAAAGCTTTTTGTAGTTGAAAGCAAGGCCCAAAACAATATGCAAGGATGGCCAAATAAGTAATGAAAACAAAGCTTTAAAGAGGATATGAGACTCACCCTTGAAGCACAGCAATAACAGCAAGTTTCTGAGACAAAACCAAGCTAAAACCACTCAAATACAACCTCCAAGAACCTTAGCTCAAGAATGAAGGTGTTTAACTAGGTGTTGTAGTGCAAAAGTGAAGAGAAAACACACTTTAAGGCACAAACTAATACAAATATAGAGAGAGATGGAGAAATAAAGAGAGAGAGGGGGATATGTTTAGCCCTAAAATTGCTGAACCTCTAGAAAGGGGGAAGAGCCTCCCCTTATATAGAGCAATGCAATGCAAAGCTTGTTTAACAAGCTTGAAATGGCCTCCATCCCTCCATACACGAGGATGGCTCAGTGAAAAACAGCTGGCTCAAAAGATCTAGCACAAAATCTGCTGAAACAAGGTGGCTGTCGGGCATCAGTGGTGGCCGGCAATGCCTCATTGATGGCCGACAGGCCTCATCAATGGCCGGCAGGGCCACAGCCATGGCCGGCAGTGCCAAAAAAAGTGGCCGGCAGTGCACCACAAGAAGCATGCTGAGAGGACCAACACATGGTCCAAAAATAGGGCAGAAAGGATACAGGGTTTGGAAAGCTCAAACCTGTGACGTTCCACCGCGAAATTCGAGTACTTGATGAGCAATCAAACTTGTCATTGGATGTACTTGCAAGCATATCCAAGTCTTGAGGACGGTAAAAAATGGGGTGTCTACACTTCAGGCAACAATATCATTAAAATCCACTAAATTAGCTTCAGGCAACAATGTCATTACCCCACTAAAGATCTAGAACAAGGGAAGGAAACAAAATAATTGTAATTGCTAATATGCAATTTACCCCACTCAACATCCAGAAATTCAAAGCAAAATGAAGAATCACAATAACAAAAAGCACAAGATTTGTAGATTTAAAATGAAGAATAACAGTATATGTTCTTAAAAAAAAAAAAGAAAAAGAAAAAAAAAGCAACACAAGAAAATTTACAAGGTGTATACCATATGCTCCTTTTGAGGGCTATGTATAGTAATACTTTTGGGATGTATATATACCAATATTATCTTTAACAACTAACACTTTTACATCCATAAAACATTCTTGAATAAACTGTCTAGATAATTAAGTGCAACAAAGATACAATAATCCCATTCTAGCATGAATATTTTCCCAAACTCAAGATTTGCCTAAATCAACTGTGAATCTTGAAATGTTCACATAACACATTGTATAATACATTGATGGTAAAATAAAATTTGTATAGCATTTAAATTAGAAATTGGAAGCCTTAACAGCTTAATTAGCTAAAATTGATTATATATCTGTGATCAGCATAATTTTTAGGTAATATTAAGCATGTTTGCGAAATTTTAATTTTGGAATGGTTAAACGATTCATTTTTGTCTTATATGCCTTGTTTATATATACTTCCAAGACTTCATGAGCCTTAGTCAAAAAACACAAAAAACGTGAATACCATTTTGGGGGAGAAAAGAAGAGAAAGTGAAGAAGAGAAATCGGGAGAGGAGGGATTCAACAAGAAAGTTTGGCAAAATTGTAGGATTGAATTCAAGGTAAGCTCAATCCTTCTTATTATGGCCACTTAGAGTTTGTAATTGCTGTGTATGTTTGATTCATGTCTAATTCATGCTTGATTAATGAGGGTTTCTCTCAATTGGTTTCTTAGGCATCTAGATTGGGTGTGGTAGGAAATTATACTTCAATCTGTGGTTTTCTATCATCACTTCATGGAATTATGCATATATCATGTGTTATGTTTCAAGGATATGAAGAACTTGAATCCAAGAATGGAATTAGAGAGAGAGATGGCTTGTTGAAGCTTTTAATCTTGGTTAATTTATTATACTCAAGGTAGAATCCATGTTATAGTGATGTTAGGTGGGAATATTGCATTAACCTAACCTTGGGTTGCATGTAAAAATGGAGTGAATACCAGGTTGGGACTCGAATGGAGGTTCAGAATTTCAGAATCTGCTCGGTCCGCTCGAGCGGCGGAAAGTCCGCTTGAGCGGGAAAAACCACCTCTCAGCAGTTTTGTGCATTTTATAGTCCGCTCGAGCGGCCAAAGTGGCGCTCGAGCGGGGGACTCTTTGTCAAAAAGAATTAAATGTCGGTTCAGTTTTAAGTGCTTGTCTCTCTGGTATTTTTAGAATATTTTATAGATGATTTTAAAGCGGTTGTAAATGCATGCAAGGTGTACGACTCAGGAAAAGAAAACTAATGTATTAATTGGGTGCAGGGCACATTCCAGAAGGAAGCAACACGCCACCTCAACACTGTGAGTAGTAGTACCTATGTAATGTTATGCAATCATGTCAATGTTTCAAGGCATGTAAGGCAATTATGTTAATGACTCAAGCATGTAATGTACTTATGCATGTTTAAGATATGTTAATGTTAAAGCATGTAAAGAAAAGCATTTACAAGGGCTATATGCCATTTTCAAGGGCCTCGTGCCACAAGTTTCAAGTGTATTTCAAGGGCCTCGTGCCACAAGTTTCAGGTGAATTGCAAGGGCCTTGTGCCATATGTTCAAGGGCTTCGTGCCATCATGTTTCAAGGGCTTATAGCCACATGTTTATGTCACAAGATTAGGCCTAGGACCATTAAGAACTAAACGCAGAATCAGACACACCAAGTGCATGCTGCATCTTTTATGTATTGATGTATTACTACTCATTGAGCCCGGCTCACTCTCTATTTTGTCTGTTTCTGTAGGTCATCAGTCAGGGGGTCAATCCTAACTTTGACGCCGTCCCTTTTGTCAACCTTTACATGTCCAGGCACCATACCAGGCCATTTATCTTTGTGAAGCTGCTAAGATATGGGGTTACTTTTGAGAACCATCTACGGATGTTGTACATAACTTTCATATTCCTTTTGTTATGCCCAATTATCGGGCTAGGGCTGTAATGTATATGTTGTACACGATATCTAGGGCTATAGTTCTAAACTTTGCCGCTTTTGGCGATATATGTAATGCATGAGATCCTGGCATGTTGGAAATAGCTCAATGAAGTATGCTTGTATTATGTTATATTAATATTTTATGCTTCCGATAAGGCCCCGTACGGTATGTACATCAGTTTTCATGTCCGTTTTTACATAGGTCATGCCCGAACCTTTAGGGGCAGGTTATGGGGTTGTGACATGAAATCCCATACAAGCCTCGCCATGCGGCGGTGGAAGATGAGTTCGAGCATGAATAGGTTGGTGTGGAACCAACTGTGGCTATGGTTCTGGGTCTTGGGTCCGAGGCCGTGGTTAGGTAGGTAGGGGCAAAAGTCGGTGAAGAGAGGGAGATTGGAGCAGGTAGAGAAGAGGTCAAGGTTGAATTGGGTAGGGAGGTTTTGGATGTGGATCCAACGGTTGGAGCAGTCTGAGTTGAGATTGGACTGTTGAGAATTGAAGAGAATGAAGAAAAAGAAGAAGATAAAGGAGAGAGTGATGATGAAGGGGGGTTTGGTGGTGGCCATTACGAGGATCTAGGTATAGGGAATGGGTAGAGAAAGAATAGAAAGGAGGCTTGTTTTTTCTTTGTTAATTTTTTTGGATTGAATTATTGTTTTTTTGAAGAAACACTAGTGTTGGAATGAAGTGACACCATGATCGATAGGAGAGAGTGGGCGACGACCGGAGGTGATTGGAATGGTTAGGGTTAGGGTTTGGAAAATTAGAATTAGAATGTTACAGACGAGGTTAAAAATGTAACTTCATGTTTGGACAAAATTGGAATTAAAAAAAATAAAAGATATGGAGGGTCTAAAGAAAAAAGGTAAGTGCTAATAATAGCACTCTCATGATAAATTCTACAAGTTCAAACAACATCCTTTAATCTAGATTACGGGCAAGAGGGAATCTGGCGTCCTACAACTTACTATACCAATGTTTCCTTATTTTGGCTTCATTTGAGAAGTGAGTTGATTTTTTAACTTTATAACTATTTTAGTTTGAGCTAAAAAGTCTCGTTTGAATTAGATTTTTTGACCCTCCTTTTTTTTAATTTTTATAAGAGAAAAAATGAAATGATTATGATTTATATATGACATTTTATCTTATTAATTTTTTAACTTATTTTATCTTTTTATAAATATTTTAACCTTTTAACTTCTCAACCCAACCTACCAAAGGAATTTTCATGGATAATTTATATTTATATGATTCCAATAGTGAACCTTAAGTAGCTTTTAATTAATGCCAGCCAAGGTGTAAATAGGTAGTCCCAAAGAGGTCCTTTTTAGTTCGAGTTAAAATAGTTAAAAAGTAAAAAAAATTAAAAAGTCAATCTATTCAGATTAAAATAATCAAACAAATTAAAAAATCAAAAAGTCAATCAACATCTCATATGAAGGCTGAGAGAAGTCAAACCCTATTTTGATCTCGATACATTCTGGTATATTAGGGCTTGTTTGGAAATTAACGTTTTGACTTTTTTAAGAAAATTGTACAAAAAAATATTCCTTCCATCTCAAAATATTAATTCATTTTTGGATATTCTAACTTTTTCGATATTATAATTATTAAATTTTAAAAATATTAACTTTCAAAAACTATTCTTTGATAGTATAATTTTGTATAATGTTAATGTTAAAAAATGACAAAATAAAAAATTTCTTTACTTGGTTCCACTTTTCCAAAATCACTTTTCAAAAAATTCTACTTTTTGTTTTCCGTATTTTTTTGTTTTTACTGAATTTTTTTAATATTTTAAGTAATTTTTTTTAAACTTTTTAGACATACCTAACATAAATATACCTAAAAAGTAAAAAAATTGTGAAAAAAATCTTTTAAAAATTCACTAAATACCAAAAATATAAAAAAATACGAAAATTCAGTATATTTTTTTGTATTTTTATGTATTTATTAATTTTTAAAAATATTTTTTTATAATTTTTGTACTTTTTAGATACATTTAAGTAAAGTGTATCTAAAAAAGTAAAAAAAAAAAAAACTTAAAATTTTAAAAAAATTCACTAAAAAAAAAATAAAAAATTTAATCCAAAAAACTAAAATCAAACAAAATATTCTTTGATAGTATAATTTTGTCTAATGTCAATTTTAAAAAATGACAAAATAAAAAATTTATATTATTTTAGTTCTTAATTTTTAAAAATAAATTTATATTTTAAAATAATAAAAAATAAAATAAAAGATTAATATTTTTAAATGAAAAGAGCGTGCATATTGATTTGTTGAATTTTTTTTTTATACTACAGTGGCAATGAAAATCGCTTACGTGTTCACCTATTCACGAAACGTACGGCATAATAATTGATGTGAAATTAACGCCATCCCCAGCAAGGAGGATTGTTTATAAAAGTCGTTCCCTACTATAGGGCATTCTCTATTCTTGCAGAGTCAAAATTGAAGCATGAAAGCATACAGCAAAAGAAGAAGAAGCAGAAGAAAGCTTATCATCGGCTGTACTTCCTCGGAACATTCATTCGCTGCTGAATTAATTGCCAACAATTCAGATCTCCTAACAGAGATCCTAATCCGAGTCCCAGCAAAATCCCTAATCAGATTCAAGTCGGTCTCAAAGCAATGGCTCTCTCTCATCTCCGACTCCCAATTCGCCTCCGACCACGCTCGCCGAAATCACCATTCCTCCATCTCAGCACTATATTTCTACTCAAAACGTTGGTCTCCCGAAGAACAACTCGAGTCCGTATCAGTTGCTGGGCACCGAACTCTTCTTCCCACACTCTCTTTTCTCGATGGTGTCGTTGTATCAAGTTCTGCAACTACGATTGAACGCTCTTGCAATGGTTTAATCTTGTGCTCTAATGGTTTCAGAAAACCCCCATATATTGTTTGTAATCTCACCACAAAGAAATTCTCACTTCTTCCTGATATTGGTCCCACTTCATCTGAATCGTGTCGTAAAAATGCTGGTGCTTTCTTGGCTTTTGATCCTGCGAAATCGCCTCACTATAAAGTTTTATTGTTTAGTTACAGTTATGTTAATAATGGAGACTGGGTTGAAATTGAAATTTACAGTTCGCAGACTTCGTCTTGGAAACATATTTCTGTGCCTGGACCGCGAGGTGTGCCATTCATGTTCAGCGTGTTTTGGAACAGAGCAATTCATGGTATAAGCTATGCGAATGTTCATGCTCGATTTGAGGTTGAGGAAGAGAAATTGATACAAACCCCAATGCCTCGAAACCCTAAAATCTATTCTTATGATAAGATTAGGTATTTTGGAGAATGTGGTGGCGATTTGCTTCTTATTCAGACTCCTCAGCGTTGTGCTATGGAATTCAGAATCCTTCAGATGCGCAGGGATTACTGCGAGTGGATTGTGAAGTACCGGGTCAATCTTAGACCCATTTTATCTGTATTTCCTAAGACAGAACGCAAAACCATAGTCACATGCTCTGAGTTTAATGTGCTGTGTGTCGTGAAAGGAGCGAATGAAATTTTTTTTACACTGGTGTTAGCTATTCGGGGCAAAGTTATTTCTTATAATGTCAAGTCCAAGACATTGAAGGAGCTTCATGATTTATCAACAGATGATCTTGATGATTGGGGAACAACTTGGTGTAATACTACTTATCAATTCATTGAAAGCCTATCACCTGTTTGATCATTGTCCTACATGTTTCTACTTCTTTCTTCCGCAGATGGTAGGTCCCTCAATAAGCTGATCTATATTTCTATCTGTTCAAGTATTTGTTATTGTTAGTTTCTTGGTCTGTGATGCTATGCTACTATCATCTCTCTATCTGTCTAAGTATTTGTTATTGTTAGTTTCTTGGTCCGTGATGCTATGCTTCTATCATCTTTTGATGTTTAGATTCTGTTTTAAGCTTGCGTTACAAATAGATTCCTCATTCATCAATTAACGTTGAAATACAACTGATGTACATAGCATAGCTCCTACTGTCACTGTGATTATCAATTTTGTTGCTTTATATGTGAGCCCTGTTTTGACCACAGTAATTCATTCAGTAAGATTTAGATTGTTCTGGTTACCAAAGAGGGCATGTTAAACTCATTCACTTCCTGGTTTTAATAGTTCGGTGGAATGGTTTTAAATGCTCAGGGAAGGAGTAGAATACATTGAAACAAAGTGATTTGAAAAATTGTTGGAATTTCATAATTGTCATCAACTCAAAGAAATCAATCCGCTGTTTGCAACTGCCATTAATTATTAGTAGTTCCTTTTCAGGAGTTTCTTCTTTTGTAAAATGCTTCTCGTAAGACCTTGCTGCTTCGCTAGTTTTTCCAGAATAAAATGAATTTCCTTAACAAATCAAGAAATTTAGGCCATGTTTGATTCACAAGTTTAATAGTGAGCGTATTAATAATTCCATCAAATTAGTGTGGTATTCACTATCCAGTTGGATTAGTAGGATAAATTATTCCCTTGTCCATTGTTTGATTTGCATTGGATAAGAAAACATATGAATTTAAGATTACAACTATATTTATTTTCTTTTCCAATCTTGCCCTCCATCAATGTTTCTTCACAATCTTTACTTTATCAAAATTTCTTCAGAAACATGGTTTTGAAAAAAATTATAAATAAATAAATAAAAGCAAAATAAAAATACAAAATACAAAGATCACGTTTGGTTTTTTTTTTTTTTTTAAATATAGACTAATTTGATGAAATAAATATCAAAAAATATTTATACCATTGCTTAATTTCAAGGGCAAAATCTTCAATTTGATAAAATAAAACTAATTTGACAAAAATAAATGTCAAAAAAATATTTTAAAATTTTTAAAACTTATTTTTAGCCTTCTAAAATATAAAATTATATAAAAATAATAAGTTTTTTAATTTTTAGTCAAGGGTAAAAGAGTCTTTTTATTTTATTTTCCAACTCAGGATATATAATCTCACTTATACCCCATTACTAATAATCTTACAAATTTGTTGGATTAATTATCCATTAGATTTATAATTCTAAAATAAAATTTCAAAACAAACACAAGATTATTGGACCCACGGATTAATAATTCTAATCTCATACTCTAATCTTGTCAATCAAACATG